CAACTGGAAAGTAAATGTAATTCTTCCTGCTGCTGATGAGGCTAGCCAAGTCTTACTCCTTACAGAACCTAGCATAGCACAAGGTCTATTTAAAATGTTGATTTAACTAAGCATATAGTAAAATACTAAGTTATGTGGAATGTAAGTTTTGAATAAAATATTTTGTCCTTCAGCAATGAGTACAATCAGGATGCATGTGTCAACTGGAAAGTAAATGTAATTCTTCCTGCTGCTGATGAGGCTAGCCAAGTCTGATAGTTTCACGGGGCCAGCCCTTGGCCAGCAGCCAACAGAGCCGTTCACCCACTTCCCTCCACCCCCAGGGGATAGGGGAGAGGACTGGGGGCAAGCATAAGGAGGCTTGTAGGTTGAGATAAGAACAGTTTAATAATAGAAATAAAAAGAAAACTTAAAAAACCTAATATTAAAATAGTAGTGATAATGATAACAGTAATAAAATATACCAGTTAGTGATAACCCAGTGCAACTGCTCACCACCTGCCGACTAAGCCCGGCCCGTTCCCAGATAACAATCCCAGAGGAGCAATAATCCCAAACTGAAACTGCAATCCCAGAAGAACAGCCCAAGCCAAAGCCAGAGAGAATCACCCCCCTTTCCAGTCAGCCCCAGATAATATACTGACATGACGTGATATGATATGGAGTATTTCACTGGCACATCCAAATGCCAGTTTTTTTTTCACTGCACTTCTCCCTCCCAGTCCTAATGCAGCTGTGACCCAGCCAAACACGGTGGCCTTGAGCTCCACTAATAACATCAGTACTTTTATCAAGGTTCTTCTCAAAACAAGTCTTACACTGAAATCAAAACACAGCTATTCTAAGTACTAAGAAGAAAATTAACTCTATCCTAGCAAAACCAGGACACTAAGATAGGATAAAAGACCTGTGTATGTTTTCCAACTGACAGAGAACTTTGGTGAATATCTTGGATATAAATAATGCACCAGAGTTGTGAGGGAGGCTGTAAGCAACTGCATTAAACAGGTTCCTACCAATTGCTGAATAAACCTGAAGTACCTAGTTAGACACGTAAAAGGCAAACAGCAATCTCCTCTTGTTTCTGCATCCTCAGCAAAACAAGAAACATCTCAACTGTACCTACAGTTTAAAAACATGGCATGGGAAATGACGAGGCTGATGGGCTCTGAACTGGCTGTTACTTCTCACAAAGGAACTTGGGAGTTGTAGCAGATAGTTCAGTGCAGCCATCACCTCATTGCTCAGTGGCAGGCAAAAAAAGAAATGGACTACAAGGAATTACTGTAAAAAAACCCCCAAAACCCAGAAAGCATCACAGTGCAACTGTATAAATCCATAATGCAGATACATTTTGAATACTGTGTGCAGTTCTGCTCCTTCCTCTCAAAAAGGATTTAGTGGAACTAAAATAGGGGAAAAGGGTGGTAAGGCTAATTGAAGCTATGAAATAACATCCATGCAAGAAGAAACTACATAGATGAGAACTTTTTAAGGCAGGAAAAAGAAGAGCAAGTTGTGGGTAGCAAACATCTCTGAAGCCATGAGTGACACAAAAAATGAATAGAGAAAGATTACGGAATGTTTTTCGAAGCGCAAGAACTAAAGAGAACCAAATGAAACTGGCAGGTGGCTCAAAAACAAACAAAAGGAAGTACTTTTTCACACAGTGTGTAGTTAAACTCTGGAACTAATTGCCACAGGATGTTGCAGATGCCAAAGTTTACATGAGTTCAAAAAGCAATTAGAGAAAAATCACAGAAGGAAAAAAAAAAATCCATGAATGGCTATTAATCACAGAGATAGTACCTCAGGATTAGGAAATCTTGGAACCACAGATTGTTAGATGCTGTGCAAGCACACCAGGCAAGTACTACTGTATGCTTAACCTGTTCTGCTGCTGCTCAAGTACCCACATCTGCTCATTGCAAGGGACAGGACACTGGGACACACCAACCACGGTCTCTTTCAATACAGGTATTCTTATGAGTTGACTGCATTCTAGGACATTTTTAAAGTAACTTTTTCCAATTCAGCTATTCATCATCTGCTCTGCCCTTTTTTGTATCTTACAATCCCTTTTTCCAGATGGTCTCTAGTTCTAGGGCTTCTTTATTTCCATAAACTTAGTTAACTGTTCACTGGTACAAGTATCATGATGATACTTATGATAGGGAGTACATTTACATGACATTTAAAGTATTTTGTTTTTGAAGAAAAAGTAACCTTCAGAACATTATAAAATATGTAATTTGTTAGAAACCAAAAGATCTGTTTACACTCTTTAAAATATCTAGAATAAAACCTGAAAAGTAAACACTGAGAAGCAGCAAGACTCAGGGCCTAAAGTTCGTCAAGGAACATTCATATATAGGGTTAAAATAGCATTCAAGGCTATAGAAGACAGATAACAAAACCTGCTCAGATAAGTTTTGCATCTTATATGAGTTCTCATTATGAGACTGGGTCACCCATGTTAGAAAAAGTGTGACATTAACCAGTATCCCAAACAAACAATAAAACACTTCCCATGCTTCAGCATTAAGAGACTGATGTAACAGAAGTGAGACAGTGTTGCCATATCGTCAGCATCAAGAGGAAGCATCCCAACCTCAGACATATAAATAATTTAGATTTGCAAGTCCAGTTTCCAATCAGGAAATGAAACCCAGTCTCATATTTACAAATTTAGACTGGAAATTAAAACACTGTTTGTAACCATCAGGAGAATGACATCCTGGAATATGTTTTCAGTATGAATAGTGAGCCCCAAGAAGTTAACTGATTTAAAGATGGAGCTGAAGATATGAGAATGAGCTGGGTTATACAAACACAGCTGCCTGGAAGAGAGAGACACTGGACTTCATGATTCAGGGCACCCTTCCATTCCTAATTAAAATACAAGTGCTTTATCAATATGTGTTGTAGGAGTCAGGATTTTTTTTTCCTTAAGCAGAGTCTTGATCATCGCTAAATGCTGTAAGAAGGAAATTACTTGTATAGTCATCAGAGTTCACTGCTCTGTGCTACCAAAGTCTTGTCTAAGGACTATAAAAAAACCCTGCACTACAGAAAAGCACTCTATTCACTAAGGGAAAGGCAAAGAAATAGCTTTTTCCTGTCATTTGTCCATAAAAATTACAACCACTTAGCAATAAAAGCATGCAGAAAGTAGAGAGAGCATTTTTGGTTTGACTACAGAGCTAAGCAGTGGTAGTTTTAAAATTTTCCCATAGGTACAATAAAACAGAACAAGTCATCGTACATCATTTTGTACTGAATAACAATTATTTCCTTAGAATAATGCATGTGGGATCTGTGACCTCCTGAATCTAAAGAAAGTCAGTGCAGTGACAGTGTTTTTGCTACGTAGTAATTCATGAAACGCACACTACAAACTTGAAGCACATATACTCACCCACAGACACCTGGGATTATAAACACACAAGGCAGGCTGCTCTTACAGGTCTAGTCTTAGTTTACAAAACAATGACCCCAGCTGTTACTGCTTTGAAATAGGAGGTTACTCCTGATGCTGGTGGGAAGCAAAACTGACAGTGCAAAAATTCCATGTGGATTTCAGTCCAAAATAAAGACAGATTAACTTAAACATTATGTATTTGCTAATGCTCCTCTACTTTGTTTTGAAACATGGAATATTTAAGGATAAATCAAAATCATTAGGTTTTACTCTACACCAGTATTTGCTCAGGAAAAAAATTAACATCCAGCATCAAAGCAAGAAAGTAAGCAGCACTTCTCACTAGTAAAAGGAGATAATTTCCTCATTAAATATCTGTGTCCCACTATGCAGGCTATCACTAGCTTTACCTCAACATACGCAAAGATAGAGGAAAAAGCCACTGAACCCTAGATATCAGAACACTGCTAAATAAAAGAAACACTGACCACAGCATTCATTTATTCTGAATTAAATATACAAAGTCATATTTTAAGCGAAAATTAGTTTCTAAATTAAACAAAAATTAAAGGTCTAAAAGAATGTCACCTGTGATGTCAACACATAGATATTTATACACTGACATGAACTTTATTTATCACAAGCTTTTTTTCTTTTCCTTTTTGCACAGCATTGTTTTTTTCTCCTACCAGTTCAGGTGTATAGCTGGGGTTTGAGTGCAAGTTTCACAACACAATAGCAGAATGCTGCCAGAAAAATCAACACTGCATGTGCAAGAGCAAGTCCCATCAGCTAAAAGTCACTCTAAACCTTATTGGATATGCAGGTAGACAACAGAAGTATCCCCTCAGCCTGGATCGTCCCCTTAAAAACTTCCACTGTTTAAAATCTTATTATATTAACCACAGAACCCTTTAACACGCTCTGAGTGACTCAAAGCATTAAACTACTACAATCCTTCTGGAAGGCTAAATCTGCTAGATTTTCTTCCTTGTTAAATCTCTTAATATAATTGTCATCTCAACTTAATAAGCACAACATATCAGATCTTCATGTTTGACAGGTTTTGTTTCAGTATACATGGCCTAAAACAAGCTGGACAGTAAATCACGGACATTTCCAGCTAATCTGTATTAAAAGTCAGCATAGTCTGTGGAAAGGCTGCCTACTTCACCCAGTAATTTAAAAAAGATGGGATCAAAACCTCCTTACACAGTCAATACTGCATCATCCAGAGAAAGGTCTCTGAGGTGTGGATTAACCATGTTGTACTAGAAAAACAAGACCTTCCCTTTACAATATTACTGTGTTTTAACTATATTTTTCAATATATAGATGCAATATATTTATACTAGTGAATTTACATCTAGTGTAAATCATGTTGTTTTATCAGACTATACTACCCACGTCCCCCTTTGAATCAGTAATATCTGACTGCATCTAAGAAAAATTTCATTTGTGACTTTAATTAAATGCTAACGCATGAACAACTCATATTGCATTAAATGTTCTCAAGGACAGTGGTGAGAATTTGCTTCATTTCAAGCTAGTTCCAAAACACTAGAGAGTAGGTACTTACTGAGATCCTCTGCAAGCTGGACCCTCTTGCCAGTTAGGAGCTTCACCTTTTTTTCATTGTCCTCAGCAAAATCTTCAAGCACTTCCTTTACATTTTTCTCCAAGCGCCTTACTGTAAAAAATCCAAAACAAAAAACCAACCAAAAAACAGTGAGGGGTAACACTTTCACACCTCTGAGGACCTCAGGACAAAATTTTGGGAAGGTCTGTGGAAGGTGTAGTGTATGTTACCAGACTAACCTGGTTGGAGAAAAGGCAAACTTCTGAACACATAAGCCCCTTGTTTGGGCTATAAAGACAGAAGATTATTTGAGAAAGGTGTTTAAATTTCAAAGGACATTTTCTATTCAGATTAAATTATTATTAGATGACATTTTTAGGAGGAGATAGAAATATCTGTAGACTGCTTTGCTATTAAATTCATTAGTTCTTTCTTTGAGACCAAGTGTCCAACAAATCTCTTATTTCAAGCATTCCTTATTAGCAGTTACACTTTTGCTATCAACATCACCTTCATCAGATGAATCAAGGCCAAGTCAATTAAAGGTGAAAGATGGAAAAAGAAATTAATGATGACAGCAGAGTGTGGTATTGAAGGATGGATGACACACAGAGAGGTGTTGCTGTATACACAAGGCTAAGAGGAATGAAAAGCTCTTTAAAGCAGTATTATGTCATACTTAGAGGGAGCACCTCCTAGTGAAACTTCCTGGTTTTCAGCCCAGCACTTATCAATGAGGTAGGTGGTTTGAATAGACAGGACTCAGCTTTCTACATTTAGGAGCAATTTTTTCTCCATGGAGGGTAAAACTTGAATCACATGACAAGGTTCAAACCTTTTACTTGTACCTTCTTCAAGACGCAGGTTGAAAACTATTTTACAGATCAAAGGCCATTATTAGTACTTGCACCATGGCACCAGCAGACTGCTACATAAACGATGCTTTATAAGGAAGCTGTTGCTGTATAAGCTTGTCTAGATGTTAGATGACACATTTTGCATGGCTTTAAAAAAATCCATTAGAACTGATTTTTGATATCAAACATTTTAAAATTAAAATCTACAGCCAGGTTAACCTGAGAAAATATATAGTCACTATTTAGTGAAATTCTTCCTGCTTGGAAAAAGATATTTACAATTGGCATCATGTAAGGTGAAAATATTTTAAGCTGGAGAGTGTCTTAATTATTTGACATTCTATTTACACTAAATCCTTTAATGTAAATAGTGTAAAATTCTATTTACTCTACATGATTTAATTACCTAACCAGGACACAAAAATCAGCCAACCATGCTAAGCATGAAAAGAACACATAGCAAGAGGAACACTAGACAATTTTTTGTTTCAAACACCTCAACTCACTCTGAGCCTTACCTTCAGTGTTAGTAAGCTGCTGCCTCAGTGTATTTGCTGTAATTGCCAGCATTCGCTGTATTCGCCAGAAGAGGACAATATCATTACATTCGAGCTGAAAGGAGGGAAGTTGTACTGTCAGATCCCTGATCTCCAGGGAACATCTTACACTTACAAGAATCCCTTGACATTTTTAGTAACTGTAAATTCATGTACACTTATCCCGATCTTGCACAAAAATCCCACAGAATAACTGCTGTAAGTACCGAGGAAACACACCAAAAATACTTCTCAAAAACCCTGTCAGCCCTATTTAATACTTTTACATCTACTATTTCCAACAGAAAGAGATTTATCAAAGGATATCAGAGAAAAAAAGTTTGCACACACTATATTGCAGGTTTGTGAGTATAACCCAATGCTCACTGAAACACCATACTTGCTCATAGCAAACACTGAAAGACAACAGCTGAACTCCATGGTGTGACTCCCTATCTGACAAATGCTTCTGAAGATAACATTGGACCAAAGGCTGTATTTGTTAACAACTGAGGAGACAGTTTCCACACCTGCAAGGATGGCAGGAGGGAGCACTAACTTCACATTAGGACACCTGAAAAATGTAACAGGAATAGGAGGTTAAGGGTCACAGAGAGGCAGCTCTCCACTCTGTGTTCTCATTCCCTCTTATCACTTACGTGCAAAGGTACTTCTACAGTAGTAGAGATTTCTGGCTCCATCAGAATCATTGTTTCTCATTAAAAATTAAAACAAAACTCCACAGAAAGTGAGGAGCTCTACCTTTCCAGTAATTTCTTTCTGATTTAAAACTTTGTGCATACTGCCATTTGTTGCACAAGCATAGGTTTACAAAACTGGGAAGTAATTTAAAAGATCTGTTTGTAAGCACCATAGTTTTTTTTTGTCTGGTTGCTTTTTTTCCCTGTTGATCACATGTAGTTCCAAGCATTAATTCTAAACACTTCTTTATCATACTTAGCCCACAAAAACCCCTTACTTAATGTTTTCCCAATTTTTGACATCAGTGAGGTAAATAAGCATAAATGGGAAAGTGGGAGAAATGGTTATCAACAAGATAACAATAGCTGTACAATACTGCTTTTAACAGGGTATTTCCAACACACAGTGATAAGAAACAGATGTCTAGGTCATGGCTGATACCTAGTGGTCATTTTATATAATTACCATCAGGACAGTTTTTTATCACATAGAAGGACACAAAAGAAAGGTTAGGCTAGTTTAAAGTATTTATAGGTTTGTTTTTCTTTTTTTTTTTTTTTTTAACTGAGATGGAAATAATAAGGCAAAACACCAGTGTCTCTCTGTTCTTCAATTTACCTCTGAGTCCACAAAATGCCTCTGATAATAATAGAAGCCTCTTCGACATAGATTGCAGTGGTTCAAAGCAGTCTTCAGGAAATATCTTCTATAAATTTGGTGCCATGTGTCTTTAATCTAGGAAAACAGTACTTAAGTGTGACTAAATAAATACATACGCTATCGTGCAGAGCTTAATGATTGCATTTAATTTTAAAATATAACTCAAATTCCACTGTCACTGTCACGTAATATATGTTTAAATATTTCTTAGCAATCTGTCTGCAACTGGTATATGATTCATGTCATAGTTACATTTGGCAACGATTACAGATGACAATTTAAAAATCTATTCTCCCATGCTTGTAGCATAACTGAACGCTTAAAAATAGTGTCTGCAGCCAAAATACACTTAAATTATATACTACAAAACAAGACAAATTGTTCTGCTCTTGATACGATGCAATCTGCATTAACACTGAGAATACATTTTGACTGGTACCAATTAATTTCTCAATTAAACCAGATTAAAGCAGAGAAATATTAAATGGGTCTTATGTAAACAAACATTTGTAACTTTTCTTGATTAGGCTTACTTATGTTCCAGTTATTCAAAATTAAATCTGTATATAGATATGTACCTTAAAAAAAAATTAAGAAAATTAGTTGCTTAGCTAGAAAGGAAACTCCATCTGCACTCAGTCTCCTCAGGTAGAGGATGTGGATCAGTACTCTGACCTTTTCAAAAAGGTATGGTAAGTGCTGTATAGGAAAGGGGCAGTAGTTATGTAAATAACTCTTCTACCTTGAATAAGTACATATATTAATGTTGAAAAGGTAGCCAAAGTTACTGCAGAAAATAAATTACTGTTGAAGGAAATCTTCATCCATTACTTTTTAATTCTCATTTATTTAAAATCCTAATTGAGATAAAAAGTCTAATTATGGTTAAGAGCCTTACACTGCAATGAGATAAATAATTTGCCAGAACTTTAAAAATGTACAATACATGCCCTCAGGGCACTCTAAAAACCCCTTCTTTTTTACAAGTATTTTTACAAAATTTCCCTCTTCAATGTACCTATGAACTTTGAACTGCACATACAACCACACCCAAAGCTTAGGAATGCACAATATGGGTTTTTTGTGTCTTGCTCACCAAAGCCTTGATTCCAGTATATAACATCTGAACAATAATTTTAAACAAACCTTGTCATAATGTGGGTGAGAAAACCTGCTCAGTAGATTCTGATTTCAGTCTAATGCTCACAGGGAGCTTCCATACATTTTCTTACAATTCTCTATCTTACCAGACATGGGTCCACTGTTATTCCTCTGGCTTCAAGATTCTTTCTGACAGTCGTCACTTCATCATTTGCCAGATAAGCTGCATGGTCTTCATTGCATTTGATTAATTTCTCAAGTTCATTTTTTGTTTCGTTACGAATATTCTAAGATGACAACAATTAGATAGAATTAGTAACTACAGACTCAGAGATCATCAGCACCTCCTCAATAAGTCTACCTGCTTAATAAGCCAGAAGAGAAAATATCTTTGACACTATTAAATATTACACTTAAGTGACTCAAAAGGGTATTTGTGCAAAGACATCTCAAATACAGTATTTTTAAGTGGATAATTCACTGTAAATTTTTCATATTTTTTGCTTTTCATTATCCACAGAAATGCAGAAGATGAAGAGAAAAAATCATAGGTGTTAGACTCCTTTCCCCTCCGTGAACATCAGCTAGCAGGGTTCATGTTCACACATCACCTGTGATGCTGAGGAGAATTTTAATTTTTGCCTAATGGCTAGCAAGAACTCTCCATGGATTCATACCTTTAAGTTGCAGTTCATTAAATTCAAGTAAGACAGGTTGAAGTCACTGCCTTTCTCCCATACCTGGCTGCATACAGTTGACTGTAAAACTCCTTCCTCTGAAACAATTACTTTCTACTGTATTCTTTTAAACTGTACTTACTTCTTTTAAAGTATGATTCAGTTTGATAAATATCTAGAAGAAGTAACATAAAAAGCCCATCATGTCTGGGCATTGAATGGAAGGTGCTATTTAAGTTCAAAATAAATTTCCAAAAGCTATGAATAAATTAGAGAGGTTATGATGAAGATGGTCAATGAGAAGATACAACTGCAACTAGAATGCTAGTGATAATGCTGTCACATACTAATTAAATCCAAATGGAGCACAATAGGAAACTGCATGCAACTTCTGCTTAAAAGGCATGCTTGGAAAGTATAGAAGAGAACAGCCAAGTTTCCATCCTGTTTTCATCAACTTTTCTACTGGGAGAACTTTTAATATTCAGGTCAATGGTATAATAGTAAAGACACAATTCAGCTGAAGAATGGAAAACAGTTTACAAACCACTATGTATCTACAATATGAAAAAAGTATATGGAATTTTCTGTGGTGTAATATTTAATACAATGAACAGTAAAATTAATTGTAAAGAATTTTAAAGGTTGGGTTTTTTTTTTGCAATCAACTCAATAGTGTGAAGAGGATTGTTATTTTTAAAAATTTACTGAGTAAAAGTTCTCTAGAGGTAGCAAACTACAAATTCTTTTTTTTATTTTTTTTTTTTTCTTTTACCTGTTCTTTGGTGCGGCCTATCCAGTACAACCATCTTTTTTTCCAGTCTGGACCCACCATATCTTCAATAACAGATTCAGCTACAAAAGGAAACATGATATAAAGTATCACTCAACACATACAACCAGACAAATTTATAGTTCTAAAATTAGATACAAGATCAAGAATGGACATGTTATGTCTAAGAACATAAGATATGCCATACTGAGTCAAGTCAGATGTCTTTTACTTAAAAGCAACAGTTCATGTCTTTTATTAAAATTTAAAAATTATTGCCAACCAAGGAAGTATATAAAAAACATAACATTCCTCCACTGAGACAGCCCTCCCAGTTCAAAGTCAAGTGTTTAAAAAAAAAATCATACCTTGCTGTAACTTGCATCAAAATTAATTATGCTTGATAACCATAAATGGACCAACTACTTTCCCTGAATTTATCCTATTCTTCTAAATGTGTGTTTGGACTATTTTTTGACTCTACAGATCTCTATTACTTATCTTTCAGTTGCCTCATTGCAACAGCAAGAGCACTAGCTTTTGAGGCTGTATTTTGCTAAACATTTCTATGAGGATAAGTACCATTTTAAACTGTCACCACTATCTCAGTTGTGCTGATACAGAAGCTTGCACTGCAGTGAAGTGAACTAGATCCAGAAATTGGCCCAGATTAAAAAGTACACAAGAGTGGAATACATCACACAACTCACTGTCTTTGAGACGACTTTGGAGCGTCTCTTCCATAAAATGAATGGCTGCATCCCATTGCTGCTTATCAGATATTGACCGATCTTCTAAGGCATTGTGCTGGATCACTCGCTGCAACACAGAACATTGTTTCAGCATACAATAAATCAATTATTCAGGATTTAGAAAAAAAATTTCTGCCATTCTCTTCATTTTTTGATGTCTATAAAAACAGCATGTATTGGGCACACAAGATTTATTCAAGAGGTACCTTTTCAAAGCACTGCCAAAAATATTTCCTTGTGCCTTTAATTTGACTCTCTTCTATAGCCTAGCATAAATAATGTAAAAAATAAAGCAAACAATATTAAATCCTTCCAGATTACAGAATCTATAAAGATTGTAATGAAACACTGTCATTTTACATGGCTATACTTAACAGAACAAATGAGCTGATGCTAAACAACTCTCATGAGGTTGCCCTAGGGCAGCCAGGGGACAATGGAGGACTTTTTCCTGAACCAACCAAAATGATTTTATTAAATGTTATTTAGGGCAATAATTAATGAAAGGTGGTGATAAAATTAATTGAGAAACACCGAATTAAAACATTACATAGAAAAGGAGAGATGGACACATCTCCCTATCATTTTATGATTACATTAAAAGAATGTAAAAATACCGAATACACAATTTTAGTAAAAAGATTTCAACAGCACTTAGTCAACAATGCAAAAAAACCCACTACATTATACCAGGCTATCCTCTGCTCTCTCATTCCACTTATGTCGTTTAATACTTTCTTCTTTAACAGCTTGTTTCAGTTTATCAAAAATATCATCATGCTCTTTTCCTTTTTGTTCTGTCATGAAACGGGAAAATTCTTCTTGCAAAGTCTCCCATGCCACCTAGGAAGTTAGCAAACAACACCCACTGAAACGGACCATTGCACCACACACCAGCTGCTAAGGAACATCTATGACAATTCTTGCAAGTATGAAAAATTGCATGCTTTCTGAAAACAACACACAAGTGTAAGAGTAAGTAACTGACTTTTCCTTTGCTGCCTTATCCATTACCAGTAAAGTCAACATCAAACTTTGGTTCACTATGTTGTAGCAAGTGTAGTTCTGTTAAACTTGCATAAATCTATTAAATATGAATATACCGAGCTTGAAGGGTTTGTTTAACCCTTTAAAAGGAGGGGTTTTTTTTGGTCTTTAATATGTAAAATTCACTAGAAGAGCAAAATACAATGTTCCTGCTGTACATGCCTCTAACACCAAGATCTTGCTGGCCTTTTCCAACACGTCAGCTCGTTAGAACTGCAGTGAGCCCTTCAAACCATCATCTTACTTCTCTGGAGCTTTGCTTTCATTTCAACAGCCTTTGCCCAGATTTATTTTTTAAATTTTCTTAAATAACTAAATTCATACCTCTACTGCTTTATTAGGCAGTTGCTTGTCAGTCCACTGCTTCAGTTTGATGTCCACAGTAGTGTTAAAGGTCCCGGAGTTCGTAGTCTGTGCTGCTGGAAGGTAGATATTCTCAATCACATGAGTAGATACCCTTTCCCATAAAGTTTTCTGAAGAATCTCCTCCCTAAAATGGAAGTTGTAACACATATGATGGCTTCCAATACAAAAGTGTCTAACAGGTATGCATTCAGTTTGTTACAAACACTAAGAAAACAAGACTACAGAACCCAAGAAATACTCCTTAACACCAGGACACAACCAAAATCTGCTTGGAACTAAGGACACACACAATATTTTCAGCAGCAAAGCTTCAGAAGTTGGCCTCTACAACTCTTACAGCTGCCACTGCACTGCACTGCACAACAATTCCTTGCAGCCTTTAGTTATACTGGTATAAACATGAAGAGCTGTGTGTGCATGTGCATGGCAGGTGAGGGAATGACAAGGGGACAGACTGTAAAGCATTGAAATGATTTAACTAAAAAATCCACACTTCCAAAAAAGCTTGTGTATTTTGTTTCTGTAGTATTCTGATTTGTTTGTTGGAACATGATGTAGTTTTCTGTCTGGGATTTTCATTGATTGTTCCCAGATTTGATAAACAATGAAGCAAGTTGAGAAGTCCAACCTTTTACCAAAATTGATATTGACGTTAATTTACAAATGTGCCTCACATCACTATAAAACTAAGCACCACCTTCCTATTTATGATGCATTTCAAGAAGTAATAATGGAAACAATTTAACTTTGACCTTTTAAAATTACAATAAACTTAGTAATTGGGAAACTTTGCAGCTGCAGTGAGACAACTCAGCTGAGCCAGTGTAATGTGCAGCTGGTACCCACAGAGGCAGTCATGCTCCTTCTGCTCCTGCCACAGTCTCCAGTACAGGTTGTGGGTTTCTTGCAGGTTAATTTTATGCCAGCTCAGCATTCTAAATCAGTTTACCAAGAAGTCATATGATTGCCAGAATTGGTAGACTGGTGAGAGCTAAGAGCCAAAGAATAAAAACTGCCTTTTTGGGGGGGTACAAGACTATCGGATTCACTCAGGCTCTTTTCTTCCAAGTGGGGTGAAGTTCAGGACACAAGCCTCAACCCTGATAATGCCCCTACTCTAACTGGGCCATCTGTAGGTGAAGACTGGAGAACTTCTCATAAATATCACTCCTCCTCCGTTTCAACAGTGGCATAATTGAAAATTTCTCTTTTGTGTTTAAAGTATCCTTCTTTAAGATTTAAAAATTTTGAAGCTGTCCTTCTGACATACCAGTATAAATGGGGATCAAAGCCACTAATTTTTCTACCATTGGAACAGATCTTTAGCATATTTAGAGTAGTAAAAGTATTTACACAAAATTAAAAGGAACTCAAGCATTTAAATGTTGAAAGAATTAATTATAAATAAAAATTAATATTGCCACCAGTAAAACATATTTTCCTTAAAAAGTTTTGTTCAAAATAGGATTATCTGGATAGTGTTCAAGCAAAGATCTATTACTGATCATTCTTGATCACCATTAAAAGAACAGGGGATGTGGCAAATTAATTTCACTTACAGGTTGTGCTGGAAACTGTCTGTTATGGATTTTATGACTTACAAAAGCACTGTAGAAGAAGGGCAGCCTTCCGATTAAGAACAATCCAAATTCATTTCTTCTTTACTGAAGTGTCAATAAAAATACACTTTTGCTTTGCTTAATCCAATTAAACTTAATTGGAAGAAATGGAAATTTTAGCAGGATAGAAACATTTGCATTCATCAAATGCACTGCTGTTTTTAGGCTGCATATAATGGCTAACAGAAGTACTGTTTCATGACAGGTTTCCAGTTCCATTTTACAGCTCATTAGATGTTATAAAACTAAAATCACCACTACATTTTAATTTTCAAAAGAAATGCACAGAAACATTCATGTTATGCAGCCACCCAATCCACAACACAGAACAACGCAGACTAAACATGGGCCAGGGTACACAGCAAATAGCAGCAAACACCATAATGGCAAACCTGCATTACATTTGTACTAGAACATAATACACTGCCTACGACACCTTCTCTGATCACATCCACATGCCCAGAATTATTCTAATGTCATTAAGAGTCAGACACTTTATCTTGTTTTTTAATCTATGACCACGTAGCAGTTCAATTCAGGTCACTGAAGGCAAAGGCACTACAGAAATCTTTTTTTGTGGTTCTCAGTTGTGGTACAGGCTGTCAAAGTAATTCTTTATACTGGCTATTGTCCTCTCAGCCTGCATCTACACTGGCTTACTACACTGTGATGCTATGCTGTTAAAATACTTGGGCTAAGCTCTCTCTCTCTCTCTCTCACACACCTGTGCCAGCCTTACAAAGAAGTAGGGCAGTGTAGTATGGTGCTACCTGGTTAAGGCTACCAAGGAGATCTGCACACAGGATGAAGTTCTTAAACATCCAGATTAGCTCTTTTTACAACCAGCAATTACCTAATCTTTCAACTTCCAAATCTCCAATTCACAGACATACAAAACTTATTTTTTCCAAGGTAATTATATTATTTTGATATGCATAATGATAATCCCCAAACATCAAGTTAAGAGGAATTACGGATTCATACTTCAAATAAGCATCTGAAAACATCTTTATTATGACTGTGCCTTTTAATTTTTGAGGAATATCTATTGTTCATTATACTGTATAAAAACAGAACAAAACACAAATTGACATTATTTTTGGCGACAGATTATGCAAGTATTTGCTGATTCAGAATCATAAACAAACACAGACTACTTCCACAGAGACAAAAGACATAATACATTGTCCTAAGAAAAAGAGTTCTTTATTTGTATTTGAGAATTTTGTTTACTAAAACTCTTTATATTTTAAAGGCAAATTTCTGCTAGTTAATTTAAAAAAAAAAAAAGGGGGAAAAGAAAAAATTACCATACCAGTGCTTTGGTGTGACTTGAGTCAAACTTATGACTTCATCAAGAATCTCATTCTTTGCTTTTTCAAACAGTTCATTCTATCAAAAGGAAAAACACGAAATAATAAGATTTTAAGTAGAGCTTGATCATGTTTCCATACAAAAAGTAAAATAATCAAAACCTTTTTTTACAGCCTTTAAGCCTAAAATGATACCTTCTGGTCATGTTCTGGACAACGTTATGTGCCTGTTGTAAGCTACCCTGGTGTACCATACATCTTCCCACCCATCTCTTGCATGCCTCTGGCCAGGCATGATATTTGAATATTCAGGATCTCTATAAAAGAATTAGAGAATGGGATCATAATTGTTTTGTTACTTTGTCTGTCTGAAATACCAGGGAATGTAACTTCTCTTTGCCAGTTCTGTCATGATCACAAAGAAACAGTGACCAACTGCTATGGGCAAGTCCAGTCAGTTAACTGTACACTAAGCGAGTGAAGGTCTTATTAAGCATTGAAGTATCACAATTTTGAAGCACATTATTTCATTAAACAGAGAGCTCAGTATTTCCTTGCTCTAGAAAAATTTACACTGTCCTCACATTTTAAAGTGTCAGTGCTTTATGTTAATTTTAAGAAACCTAAATTAAATGGTCTAAATTTTAATCCAAAATCTTCAAGACTTTGTAGCACACAAATTAAAGCAGTAGTGTAATTTACCCTGTCAAGCTCTCGCAGCCGGGGGTAATTGTTCTTCCATTCAGTCTCAAGATTGAAACGTGTGGCTGCAAAAATCAGAAACAAGGTCTTAACTCTTTAAATTGTCTACATGCACTTCATGAACACCTTAAAGGTTTAGCAGCTCCTAAAATTGCCAAAAATCTTGCTTATGAAAAACCTTCCAAGAAGTTTAAGTGCCTCTGCAAATGAGCAAAGTGTTTTTGCTGTCTATGCTCAGACATTCGGTCTGCCAACTGCAGGATTCATGTATTGAAAAATGTAGTAGAAAGAGTTTTTAGAGTGTCACTCAGTTTCCAGCTCTGTACAAGTCAGTTCCCTGCCCTGGATGATCAGACAGTATCTTTATATAGGAAGCCATTTTAAAAAGCATCTGAATCCAATGGAAGAACTGTTTTGTCCACAAAAAAACTGTTTGTTTTTTTTTTTTCCTTCATACTTATTTACTCCTTTGGCTTTAAAAGCAAGTGGGTCCACCATGATTTTTTTTAGTGTTTTTGTAAAGATTATCTGGGGTAATTGCCAACTACTGAGAAATGGTGATCATATAAAACACAACTGCCCAAGCAGACTGGTAAAATAGTATTATATGTATGTGGAAGAACTGTTAAACAGCAAGTTGCTATTTCACTTGGCTTTTGAAAAGATGTTTACCTTTAAAAGCATCTGCTTGCTGCTCCACAGACTCTCTCACCATTTTCCAAAAGCAATCAGACACAGCAAGACTTAAGTTCTTTGTTGTAACCTGGTGTGCCTTCAGCATACATGTTCTGTAAAGAAAGACAGCTAGAGGAAATTCTTTTACACATATGCATGCCTTCTAGCTCCCATTTTCTCCTCACAAGAATAAAGCTTTTTATAGTGGAAAATAACATGATAATGTGCACCTAACCCAAATTCCAGTCTCTTCCTCCAAAATATTCACTACAGACAATCAACAAAGTACGGGGAAAAAATAAACAAACCCGACACCACCACCAAACTCCAAAAAACCCCCAACACAAATACATTTTCATTCTAGAGGTTGCAGTGCAGGTACTGCAGTCCCAAAGACCATGCAGCTTACTTTGCTGAGAAATACAAGCCTGTGAAACCAAAACTCTGCTCAATGAACTTCTAAGAGAAGACAAAAGCTAATCTTTTGAATACAACATTGTTGTCACACTAAGACGACTGATATTTGGAGGCACTAACAACTCCTATTTGGGCTGGATTCACTCCTCCCAGCTGTATCTGTTTCTAGGCACAGGCTGGAAAACTATCTTCTAGAGCCAACAGAGACAGAAGAGAAGGCTCATAACTGCAGTGGAATCAACTGCTGCCTGAAGAAGATGCCTGTCTCTCTCCACCGACTTTCAGCAAGCATTAGGAAACCAGGCTAACTTGGTCACCTCAACAAGATCCTTAACTTAAGCAGATTAAACCTCAAACAGGGTTTTCACACTGCAATCCTTTTTTTGAGTTCAACAAGAAAAACTGATGCTAGCATTTACAAACACAGGCTCATTTTAGTAAAAGGAATAAATAGCAACATACTTCAACAGCTTTGAATTTTGAAAAAATTCCTCTTCATATTCTTTAATAGATTCAATGCTTTCACTGCTGTTTCCTGGAGAAAGAAAAAAGTGCTGCAACAGTTCAATTTAGACAGTTTTCTCTGCTATCAAGGAGAAAATAAGCAGAGACAGAGCTCTCTTTACCTTTTCCAGTAACAACTGCAAAATAACCCAAAGCTTTCATTGGGAAGAGTTTGCCTTCAATTATTTGCTGGATCTACAAAAATAAAGGATTAAAAAAATGTGGTTAACTTTGCAGAGACATTCTTTCCTTCAGGGCAGTTTTAAAGCCAAATCTAGTTGTATCTACGCATAGACAACTATAAGCAGTTTGTCACATGACTGAATTCCATTGATATTTAAAAGAAAAAAAAAAAACAAACCCAAAAACAAAACAGGAATAAAACAAATAAGGCATAACACAGCAAGGCACAAAATAAAGTGAAAAAGCCTATCCCAGAACATCTTAAAGCCTTCTCAGGAAATGGAACTTGCTCACGTCACCTGCATGAAAGGAAACAGTATTATAGCAAGCTGTAGCCAAGCTGGGACTGAAGTCATGCAGCTGATCATTAAAAGCAAAGCCTGAGAGAGATTAAAACAATCATACTGAATACAGAAATAAGGACACAAAACCAACTAGAACTGGAAGGTGAGGTCAAATATTTCTGACAGCATCTCAAGTATTTTTCCATGTGTGACTTTAGCCATCACAATGTGAGAAAAAGAGTTTCAACTCACCCTACTTGGGCTAGCCACGTTTTTCTCAGCAAGATCAACTTTAGTCAATACAAAAATGGTCCTTTTTCCTTGGGGATCCATTTGACTGACTAAGTCTGTGACAATACTGCGTTCAGCATCCACTGATCCATCTAAAAAGATGTTAACAAAACCAAAGTTATATTTAAAGGATTATGTAATCTAACATGCAGTACTGAAGATAAGTAGGCATCAAGTAATTTCTATGTTATAATTTAAAACAGTAAAATTACACTTATATTGAATTTTTGGGTACACACTGTGAAAATTTGCTTGGCTCCCAGTATCATAAAATCCCCCCAGTTTGTTGTAGCTGTATAAGTTTTGAACAAATATCAGCATGTTGAAAATATTAGACTCTAATACTGTCTGTTGCCTCCAAAAATACTTTTGAATAGCTCTTGAATTTTACTATCACCACCATTTTTTTTTTTAATTATAAAAACTCTATCAAAAAGTTGCTTTTTGCCACAGATACCGAAGGTGTCTTAATTTATAAAGAGACATTCCACAGCATGCTGTTTTGTACACTATATAAATTACCACAAATGGAAAAAAAATATATAATCAGGAGGGTCCCCAGAGTAATATAAGAATCACAATTAAAAAATAAAAAAATCCTGCCAGTTGGATAAGCATCTAGACTCTTATTACCTTGAATACAAAGAATGATGGCATTAGGATTCTGCATGTAGGCCTTGCTGATGCTAAAGATAGTTTCCTTCGTATCTGGAGCCATACCTGATGTCACAGTCTTTAATATGTATATGGAGATATATTTTTAAAGGAAAAAAGAAAACAGAAAGATGTAAAAAAGAAAGACAACAGCTAATGTTCTCACCAATAACACTACCTCACATGTCTTAAAGATTTTTTTTTTTTAATTTATTGCATACTTACACTAATAACTCCAGGTAAATCAACCAATACCATTCTCTGCAAACCAGGACCTTTCACGCTTAAGGAAATGGTCTGTGAAGTAAAATTGAAATCAAAGGTTTATATGCACACCTACTTTGTATATAATTACATACACACACATATATAAAATTATATAGATGCTTATTTACATGCACACATGCTTTAAACCAGCAACAGCCTGTAATTTTAAATAGGAAGCCCAATTTTATAAGCATGCAATTATGATATAAAACTGACTTTAACACTCAAAATGCACTTTGTATTGTGCAAAATACTATGTACACACAAACTAGATTCACAAGTCTTCTATTTGAAGGAAACTTACAGAAGATAAACATGTACAAATATTCGCCACTAAATATTTGACAAGTCTTACCTCAGTGCTAACAGTGCACCCTTCCTTCACACTATTTCTCATTCTGATTTCTATTTCATTTCTCAAAGCTGCAAGCTGTTTTGAGAAAAGCAAAATATCAAACTCCTTATAACTGTGACAAAAGACAAGTCACTAACATAAGTAAAAAAAAATTTACTCAGGGATTAAGATCTCTGTTTATAAATACTAACTGTCTCAAATGCATGTTGAATAACTAAGTCTGTTCAATGGGGCGCTAAATGACAGATTACCTCAGACCCCTGCATACTCCAAAAATTGTCTTGGCATAAGACCTCCTCCTACATTTTATCCACTTCAGTGCCAGCCAAAAACCATACTAAGAGATGATTTAATAACTACAAAAACCACACAAAGACATTATTTAATAACTAATACAATGCCTTGCCCCACTAAACATATTTCACTCTAATTAAACGGGCTAACAGCTCACAAAGACACAAAATTTATCAGAGAATTAATAAAAGTCACATTAATTCCTGTCATGTCTTTACACTTACGTCCTCTTCCTTGGTCAGATCAAACTCCCGAGAGCTGTCTTTGAATAAAGCCACATGGTGGGGACCTTCACTAAGGGTTACCTAAATAGTAAAAGCCTTATATGAGAAAGTATGGTAAATCTAACACAGAGAAACATGAGGAGTACATAGCATACGTACACTTGCCACTGCAGACATACAACTATATGTAATGCTTATTTAGCACAGGACTACTTATAGTAGGAACTGCTAATACTCTGATAGCATATATGGATCTTACATCGGCCTGCAGAAGTTTCAACGTTGACTGCAACAACTCTCTTGCTTAAAGGCCGTTTTATAAACAACTGCTCCCATATACTTCAATTAATGGCATAAGAGAGAGAATAATAAGGCAAATGCTGATTCAGAGATGATGATGTTTCTTACCTTAACAGGGGAACGCGTCATCATCTCCCCAGACCCTCGAGGGAATATGCGGGCTTGGGCGATCATTTCTAACACACTGGTTTTTCCTGCACTTTGATCTCCAACCACCACCACCTTAAGTGAAAGTTTAAACAGCCATTGGCTTTCACCAGGACATTTTGGAAGCTTAGACAAAAGCTGACTAAAAAGATGTTAATCTGTATCAACTGGCTGCATTATGCTTGACAATAAATGCATTGGTTAAAATACGGAATCCTTGAAGAAATGTCAACTTTTAGTCATGCAAAAAAATTGGCTTGTGCTTAAGACAGCACAGTCCACAAAGCACCCTATGGGCCACAACTGCCAGGCCACCTATGGAAGAGAGGAAAGGCTTGCTGTTCTCACAGCAGGCAGTTCTTCTCTCCTTGTACAAAATCCTTTCTACAAGCCAAACACTGAAAACTACTCATCTGGTAGATGTTTCTGCCTGGAGAAGGCTGAATCCTGATGTAGTTGCTGTCATTTCCCCATCTTACTGGCTTCCCACAGAAGCCACCACTGCTACAGGTGGTGGTGCAAGCAGGAAGCACTGCTGGCTCTCCCCTACACCAGCAGTTGAGTTAGCCAAACCCCTTCTCACACACCCCCTCCAACAGCAGCACTACTGTGGGGCATTAGCTGGGGCACCTTAACTTCTGAGCTCCACTGGTACACACTGGGAAGCAATAGTCATTTTACAATGATGAGAAGGCTGGGCTGCCCTGACTGAAACCATTTAAAATGAAAGGCTGAGCACAGCAGCAGCATCTGGATCTAGGAAGGGTTTTGCCTATGAGCCAAGACAGACTTAACATAGTTACATCAGTTATTCTCAAAAATCTTGTTGCATTTAAAATGGAGAACATGTCTTAAGCAAAAACCCTGCAGTTACAAGAAAATAGCCTAGCACTAGCTCTGGATTAATCTGTAATATAATTAAATGTTCTGTTCAACTGTAAGACTAGTGTTTCAGTAAAAAAGCTTGAATTTTTAATCTACTTACTCGAGGTAGGTGATCTTGAGTGTTATAACTGGCATCATAATCAGACAGGATGTCAAGTACTTCAGAATACATATCAATCAAGGATTTCTACAAAAAAAAAAAAACATACAGAAAGAAAACACAGGCAATTAACAGAACAAAGACTGGGTTTCAGTCTACTTCATCTGTATATTCTGTAAACTCATCTGTAAAAATGTGTGTATTCTTTCCTGATGGTTTGAAAACTAAACTGTCTATACTGCACCACAGATCTGTTTTATGAGGTACAATACCAAGGAAAGTCATCCCTTGCCTTCTATAGATGAAATTACTACAGCTGCAGACACATCTTGCTGAAAGAGCAAAATGGGAGCTCTTAAGTACAGCATAAGAGAACAACAGTGCTCAGACTTTATAGTTTCCAAGTTAGAAAGCTGAACTGAGTTTTTTCCATTAGACACCTAGGCTTACATTTTCAGCTTGATGAACAGTAAGCATTAACAAGGGTAGAGAGCTATCAACCTCATTCTGTACAAATAAGAAGTCCTTATGTTCCAGTTCCCAGAAGAAAGAGGAAGATTCATATTGGTCAGTGTGACACAGAGAGAGGCAGAACACATCTGTTTTTAGAACAGTCAGGATGTTGGCAGACAAAAGCAAAAGCATACTTACTTCAATCTCTCTGGATTTATACAGAGGCATCACAATGTGTTTCCCGACCCTGTAACTATATTCCTACCAAACTCAGTAAGAGCCACGACAAAGCACAAAGGTATCAGACTGTGTGTGTAAGAAGAGTTGGAAACATACTTATTAGGCAAATACAGTGAAGCTACATCAAAAAACCCAATCCAGATTTCCCACTTCAGTAAGTTATTTAATTAAACCTGGTAACCCCTTTGTGCTCTTTAACTGAAGCCATTCACAAAAGTTATATATAGTTAGCAAAAAAATAAGTATAAAAGCCTTAACATGTCAAAAAATTGGCACAGATATCTGAAAACAGACATTAAGAATTCATATATGAATTAATAAATACAATTTAGAATAGCATCATGGAAAATATGGCAAAATTACATTTTTATGTTGATTTGTAACACAAGTACCTTTAACTTCCTTTGATGAATTCCTTTGTCATCTCTTTGTAGTACCAATTTTCTTAATTCTTTGTTCTCCTTCTCTAATCGCTCAAGCATTCTTTGGTATTTGAGCTACAAAACAGTGGTACAAATATACTCTTGAATTACAGAAATAGTACACTCACATGAGAAAAGTTTTACCTATGAAAAGTGTATTATCCTTCAGGCAAGTCTTTCAAAACCACAAATTTTTGTGATCACTAAAGTTTATTAAAAATACAAGGACGTCAAGAGAAGACTGTTAGAGATTTTTTTTTTTCGGCAACACACCACCTTTGCTTTGAAAGTTTTAACAAGACCACAATGTTAAAACTTGGGGATACATAAATCAATCTTTAAGCATCTTAAACAAGCATCATTTTCAAAGGAGCTACACATATGCAGTCAGACAGAAACTAGTGTCAGTGGGAACGGGCTGTTCAATCAAAAAGATCACAGGGCTTAAACATGAATTTGCAAGCCTAGTTTAGACTTTCTTCAGTATAAAACCTCAGTTCAAGAAACAACTATACCAGCTCAGTCTTTTTTAGAAGAAGATTATGATAGTCCTCTGATGATGAGACATGAATATAGTTTTGATATCTACTGTGGAAATTTATTTCACCTAAGTGTACTTTTCAGAGAAAAATCAAATTTCAAGCTGTTATAAAAAAAGGCTAGTAATAAATGCTTTCAAAACTGGCAAATATATAAAGAGGTTATAAAATCCTGTACCAAAACAATGTGGCTGAGTCAAAGAGCCAATCAATTTAGAAGCCTACAGATACAACAAAAGATTAATTGTACATTAACGTAAGAAAAGTAAGCAAGCAAACCAAAGTAATGACTAACATGGCTAATATGCATCAACCCTGCAAAAAGTATAGCTTAAAAATAACTAGTTCTGCCTTGTTGGAATGAGATTTGGTGAAGTTCAAGTCAACTAATGAGACAAGGAGTCCCACATTATACCACATTTGCACAGAAAAGCCCTATTAAGGTATAATAGATGAAACCCTTCTGAGTTCGTTGTAAGGGAACACACCAAGGAGGAAAAAGTGCTGCTGTCTAAACAAGAACTACAAATCATATAGCTGAGGAATCATGGTTCCTGCTCTGTAGGGACTGCCTAATGGATGAAATATTTCTGTGTAAACCAAATCTGCCACTGCAAACTGTACTGCCCAATATTATGAAAGCTACCCCCCAGAAGGGCTGGAAATGCTCCTTGGTTGAACTGATGCAGGAAATTCTTAAATTAGCTACTGAACCCAAGACCAAATTTCAGAGAACAAGAAAATTAATTTATTTTTGTAACTTTTTTCTTAAATAATGTATGCTCATATATACTTCCATCTTTGACAGAAGATACTAGATTTATTAGTATTTTAACCCTGTTAGGTTGTAAGTGTAAGTTTTATGTAAGGGGGACAAAGGAACATGTATGTATTCACTATATACAACAATTCGTACTAAAACACGGGCTTTCCAAATGTCAACTATTGACCTCGTAGGTCCTCTGAAGTTAGGCCATGTGCTTCGTAAAAAGCCAGTCTGAAAAGCAGTGATCTTAAAGCTGATCTCTGCAGATCTTCTCCTTTTATGCCAGCTAATGAAGCAGTCTTCTCTTCAACAGAAATAACAAGAAATACTGAAAACTGCATTTCACTTGCAAAAGCACATCTTCTCATAGACTATATTAAATTACAACAACTGAACTAGATGGAAGACATTCAGAAACTGCAAGTGGCTTGGGTTTTGTGAAGCAATATTTTTTAGAAACTTATATTAAAAAATCCTACCAACAGCTTTCATTATCGTCAAAATTTTCACTTTTTGATTTTTTTTTTAAAGGACATCACTCAGAACAGAACCATCCTCCTCAGCTTCTTAAAAGGATTAAGTATTATCTTAAATCCCTGAGGGAGGGCAGAGAAAAAGCTCTTAATCTGCCCACAGCAATTTTCATAACAAATAGTCCAATCATAAAAACAGCTTTAATTGAAAGAATTGCTTACTGCTTCACAAAACAGATTTTGATTAACACTACATGGCTTATATACAACTCTAGCATTGTAACTGCAATTATTTTTCTGATTCAAGAAAACAAAAAAGATACTTTGGTTCTCCTGAATGCCACTGTACTATAATCTGAATGTCTCACCCCACATATAGAATCATAGAATAGATTGGGTTGGAAAAGACCTCCAAGATCATCAAGTCCAACCCCTGATCCAACTCCAATTACTATATCATGGCACTAAGGGCCACGTCCAATCTCTTTTTAAAGACCTCCAGGGATGGTGAATCCACCACCTCTCTGGGTAGGCCGTTCCAGTGCCTGATTACCCTTTCTGTAAGGGTAATCCCATATGATGTCTATTTTTCCTCTTGGACCTCTGATGTTTGGTCAGCAAATGCATTTAAAAACTTCTTTTCTTTACTAGAAATTATGTTTCACATTTTAATCCCTTAATCTAGAACCCCTTAATAAGTAAACTAATTTCCTTTCTGCAACAAATGTGCCATTTAAACATACAAGATATCACAGATATATTTAGTAGCATTGAAGTTATAAAAAGAGAACTGCAGAACGTTAGGAGTAAAGTTAGCAACTATAGCCAAGTTAAAAACTGGAATATCACCACTGTATTTATGTAACACTCTTGGCCTAACTTTACATTTCAAGTATATATAGCATTGAAGGCAAGGAAGGTATTTTAGGAAGGTATGATTACACATTTGCCCTATTCTTAGGCTCCCCTCTTGCATTCTGTCAGTCACTGAAAGAACAGACTAGACTGGCCTTTGGGCTGAAAAAGCACTGCATTTTTACCAAGTATCTTACATTTCAAGTGTGCTTTTGGTATGTAAATCTGAGTCTGCTGCACATAAATCTCCACTTAAGACATCAGTAACTCAGAAAAGTTACCTGAGTGCGTAAAAGTTCTTCTTGAAGCTGATCAATCTTCTCTTTGTCAGAAACCTACAACGAAAAATACTCATGGCTACTAACACATTGTTTAGTTTATCCACAGTAACCAAATCACTAACTGAAAGCTTCATTCCACATAAGAAAATTGACTTTACATGCATTTTAAAGCAAGTAAAATTCTTCAATTAGCATCTGAGATTTAATGCTGATGGAAAGTTCCATCTGCAACAGGGGGTCACATCAGAAAAACGTCTCAATTCCAGTACATGCAAATGCAAAAATTAACCCTTCAAGACTTAATAATAGGAAAGTGGGCTTAGGGAAAATGAACCTCTATATGGTGCTCCGAGTTTTCTGGCCACCGCTCTATATGTAATTTTAGTGGCCAAACTCTCAGGATCTCAGTATGTTCATTTCCTGAATTAGCACAATCTTAATAGGATACGATCACTAAAACACCTGCTTGCTACAGAACATACTTTCAGGTAAGTATTCACTATTTCTGAATCTTCAAGGGGATTCTTATTTCATATTTGTTTTTCAGAATTATAATCCTAAACATGCATGCACAACTTCATAAACTGCAGTTAGTCAGGACAGTCTTGATGGGTTATTGTTAAATTATTTAAATTACATTAAAAGCTGGAAAAAATTAGGATATTATAATAAAAAACATTTTGAAGTTCAAGGCATAAATGCAATAAGATCAGACAGTTAAAACCATTCTTAGACAAATATTCTTAAAATAGGTTCATCAAGATGTAATAAACAGTTGTTCCAAACAATCCCTTTTTAATAACACAAAGGCAAAAGCATAAATGGTGCAATACAAATTCATATGATGTAAATATTCACAAACATACTAAAATCTTATGGTTAACTGATGAAATATTAAATTTAGAAAAAATTATAATTGAAACAATTGCTGAAAGACTTGTACAGGTAAAAGCTCCACTATTTAGATAAAGCTCATGTGACATTTACAACTCAGGCTAGCTTCATATCAGAAAGAGCATATTATCTAACATGCAGAGGACAGTTGTCATTTAAACACAAATCAATTTAGTTACTACAATTTCACAGCAGATGTTATAGATTAAAGAAGAAAAAAATCCACAGTTATTCATAGTGATTAATATTATTTAGCTATTAAACCTGTAATATACAGGATTGCGCCTGCACTTTATAGAAAGCAATCCAAGCTGATACTTCCATCCATATACAATTATTTTCATAAACAACAAACAGGAAGTGCTGTAAATTTACTTCCTTTTAATTTCTGTTAATTAGTTCAGTGATAGCAAGAGTGCATCCAAAACAGGGTTAGTTTAGCACATAGACAACTTGATGCACACAGCCACAAGGTGGTATATGTAAATAAACATTTACATATACACACACTTTAAACACCTCTGAGACATAAGGGGAAAATAAAAATGGAAGGGCCAAGAGAATGGTGTGGAGAGTCAGAATAAACAAGAAAATAAAGGAAAGAAAACGAAAACAAAGCGTTTCCATGTGCTGCAGATTTGCAAAGCAGTTAACATTTTCCCGCTCTCTGCTATTAAGCAAGCTGTTCCTGGAAGTACTCCTGGGACCTTGACACATCTTTGAAGTACACACTTACAGACAGGTTACCTCTAACCACATGAGCACTGTCTTTTATGTACACTATACTTACATTAAACACAGCAAGCAAAAATATTGCATACAGCTACATGTTGCAAGATCTGAAGCAAAGGATAACCTTGCACTAGATGATTAATTCTAACAAGGACAATTAGGTAAATTATGTCAAACAAACAGCTCTAGAATGCTGTCTTGGTTTCAACATTTGGTTCAGGTGTGGTTTAATTGTTAGTACATACAGTATTTTGAACATGTAATTCATACTATTGCTAAAAATTATTATGTTGCCAAGAAAAGATAAATCTATCATAATAATCTGAAGTGCTAAATCACATATGATTAATCTATGATTTCTACTCACAAAACCAATCAACTATTAAAATATCTCTATATAGGCACATCAATATTTGTTCAGTTCAGTTCAGCATAGTTTCTACATTATTCCTCCTTCTTTCCCCACTGCCACCATATAGAATTATAAGAAAACTGTAGGGCCATTTTTAATCAAGGGTTCCAGCAAATAAAGATGCAGATATCTGTTTACTAAGGTTACCAGAAGCTCCTTAAAGAGCTACTCATTTTGCTCAGCAGTTGCTTTCCAACAACCTTTGTCACACACTGCATAAAATAAGTAGGGGTCACTGAAAATTTCTTTGAAACCACAGTTATTGGTTTTGCATATTCTCCAACCAGACTATAAATAATTTTAAATTGATCATCTACAGAAAAACTACAATGATTTCCAGTAATATAAATTAAAATATCAAGGCCCAGAGAAAATGCATATAAGAAGCAGCCATGCACGGTACAGCTATACAAGACTAATCAATTATACTGCCAGATATTTATCAAAAGGCCAACAAAAAAAAACCAAAACCAACAAGAAACAATTACATTTTTGTTTTTAAAACCTTCCCCTGATTGTAAGATGGTTCGACTATTATTTGATTTACAACTGAAGTAGATTTAATATTAATTAAATTAAAGTGGAAAATGTGCAGGTAAATTGGGCAATAGAATTTCCATGAATGGAAATTAAATGATCATGTTCTTCAGCAGACAGGCGAGCAAGCCAGCTCAGTTAAAAAATAAACAAGGTTAGTTTATGCCCTGTCCAAAGGGCGTGCAATGACTTATTTCAATGATGGTAACAATTTCTTCTTCCAAAGGAGAATTTGGATCAATGACTGGAATCTTTAAGTTACATTCTCATATCAAGATATTTAAGAAGACAGTTTACCATCTCTTTCAATTTGTTTCCAGCACAAAGATGAGTGTGACAATCAAGAGACACTGCTTGCCATTAGGTATGTATGCCAAACAGCACACTTGAATGCTAAACTAAAACTTTTTATATGCAAAGGCAGTTAGACTTTCAACACTCGGAAAACACAGAGTACCTGCCTTGGAGGACAGGATAACATTTAGAAAGACAGCCCATACAGCTATCCCACAGCTTGGGAATTGTAGAATTAGTTGCAAGAAAGTAGTAACAAGGTGGAATTTCAATCAGAAACAAATGTAGTATCAAGCTCACTTTTTCCCCCTGAATGTGTTTATCAGGCTGGCACATTTTTATATATCAAATATTGTATTACCTTTCTGGTAATTTTTGCATCTTCATACATTATAAACTTCAAGCTACTATTCCATAGTTCAGCTCTCTCAATAAACTGTATACAATCTGACAGAGGCTGAAGGACTTAACTTCACTAAAAAACAGAGTAACTGAACAAATAGAGAATATTTAGGCCACTGAAGACATCTTCACTATTCTACTAAAATACACATCTGGAAGGGAATGAAGGCAAGGACATTTGTAGGACACCTATTGAGATAAAATAATCCCAAATAATTGCATTTCCATTATATTTTGTTATACAATGCCTAGATTCATAACTGAGGACAGCATATATCAGGGTTATTTTAAATCCAGTCAGAATATTAACTAAAATTTGAAAAATGAAATAGGAGGAAAAATTGCCTTTCAACATTTTTTTTTTTTTTTAAGGAAGATTAACAGTTTAGAGTGGCCAGGATTTGTAACTCTAAAACATAAAAATAATATGGCAAGAAAATAAAATATTTAAGTTTAAAATGCTAGTATAGTTTCAGAGAACAATGACTTCCTCTGTTAATGGACTAAAAAGCATGACAATTGCAGTTATGCAACTATGCTAAAAGTTTAATTCACGTTTACTGTGTTGCTCTTTCTGTGGGACCTATCTTCAGATGTACAGAAGATTAAGTTCTGTATCCAGTGCTCAATTCCAAAGCTGCTGAAAAATATGAGTAATCAGAAAGATTTTTTGGGGGGGGCACAGAAGCGGCCAAAGCAGCAATGCAGTTAAGAATTATGGTTTGTAACATATTAGACAACTAAAATATCCCAATTTAGAAAGCATTTCCAATTCATCTCAGCCATATAATAATGAATAAAATGGTCAGAGCTTAAATTAAGTATGTGAAGTGATGTGTAGATGTTCAGCAACCACAGCGTATCAGTATAAACTGAGCTTTAAGAGGGAAAACAAAGGAATACCTTTGATGAATATACAGTAGAGACTGTTGTTAACATCAGTACTTAATTGTCTGTGCAAAAATGTTTCTAAGGAGCTGCTGTCATTTTCAAATTGGTAACAGCATAAAGCAGGAAAATATGTTCCCAAAGGTATACTGCCTGTAAATAGCTATATTCTTACAAGATAAAGCTACAGTAAGCAAGCAACAGTTGAGAAAACAGACTTGACATTTATTCAATTCATTTATTCAATTTATACTTTCCTTTAATGCATTTTTAATGCATGAACTTTAAACAACAGTTTTTAAAGAGGCAGAGAACATACAATTTCAAAGTGACACGAAGTACCTGTTCTGCTTTTAACACCATGGTTTAAATGCAACTTGGTTAAACCGAAACAGGACTACACATCTGTAGTGAAGTTGGCTGTAATAATTATTTGGGACCATAATTTAATTAGTTAGATTTTTCTAGCTCAAATGCAGAAGACTGAAGTATTTGATTAGTGTGAATACAGTACATATTGTCCTTTAAGCCATCACCTTTCGCTTCTGTTGGGAAGAGCCCATGTTATATTGGTCAGCGGCTCTGCGTGCTTCCTCTTCGTGCTGCTGGATTTGTTGTTGTAACAGAATGAGTTCACCAAGCAGGCCCTGCCATGAGTTTATAATAAAAAGGAGAGGAAAAATTTGGGGTGTAAGGAGAACAAAGTTAAACAAAAGGTCATAACAAAGACAGATGAAAAACAGGTATGAATGGGTCAGTACAAACAAAAGTGAAATTTCACTAGCAAGATCTCTTGCTAGCTAGCTGGGAGTAACACAGGCAGCAAACCCATGCATTTTGCAAATCCAGGTAGAACAAACAATAACCATTTAGCTAGATTTTATAATCATATTCAACTTTAACTACAGCATCTAAATCTTAAAAAAAAAAAATCAACTACCTTGGCTTTAAAATATTCTCAGAGGCTCCAGGATTTAACTTCAGTTATTCATACCAGAAGTTCTTAAGTATCAGCAATTTCTCACAACTTAACCGCACATGTATTTAAAGAGACTGTTTTGGATTTTCTACACAAAGTTGTGCACAACAGCTAATAGGCTCAACTTTGTCAGTAATATAAAAGTTCTCATTTTCTTCTTATTCCCAGCAATACAGAGCAGACAGTTCATAGAAAGATGATTTTGCCTGATACTTCAGTTTCTCAAACTAATAGAAGCAAAATAGTTTCTAGAGAATAAAGAAAGGAAAAAACCCCTCTCCACTTCTATAATACACTGCATTCATCCTGTCATAATCCTTTCTGATCACTCCAAAATCCCTGCAACTCAATGCTTACTCCTTTACTTATTCAGCATTTCCACAAAGCTTAGTTTCCTTCTCTTCTTCCTCCACACCAAATATTCTTGTAATGGTAATCTGTCTTCAAATAAAGATACTATGCCAGCATCTACTGGAACTTTACGTACAATTTATTTCAGAGAATGCAGACAAAAGTATAAATGAACTATTTAAATAAAACTGTTTAAAAATATCACATATTCTAGGAAAACATTCAGTGAAATGAAAGGTTTCACAAATGCACTTCAGGAATCAAAACAAACCCTGAAACAGAACTTTGGTGTGAGAATTCACAACATCTACCATCAAGTTATACATTTGTTGCATGAAATGCACACACAGGCATGTACACATAAGGATAAACAACACAGGAGAGAATGGATAAAAGAAGAGAGATGATCAAATGATCAAATATAAACATTTGTTAATAGTGATTTCTATAACATTTCAAGATCAGAAAAAGCTTCACATTTGCATTTTACTGAACCACTTTAAGATTTAATAAATTTCTATATTGCCAGACTAGGAAACACAGTGCCAAGACCTGTGCCAAGAACTCAGGCAAAACAAACGATTTAATTTCTATCAGCAGCCAGGAGAGATAGTCTCACGGATACACTTAGTATTAGAGGAACAATAATAATATTTTCCATTTTGCAAACAAGGAAACTCTCAATATGACCCGACACAATCCCTTTAAACATTATGCTATGGATCAAGAAAATACAAGAAAAAACACTGAACAAAACTTGCCATGAAGGCCTTTTAGCATTTAAATAGGGACTGTAACAAATGTTTGAAGTCACCATATCTATTTAATGTGCAATTACTTTCTAAGACATCTGGTCCACATGACTCTTGCTCCATAGTAAAGTATCAAAAGCCCTTTTCAACCATGGCTGCCCTACTTAATAAAATACTAAAGTAAAAAATACAGTTATTTAAAGGTTTCTCAATAACACTTTCTTCTTTGTATATATCAGTCAATAAACTTCCTTTATTTTCTATTTTTTACTTTACGGGTTTGAATTGAATATCAAGAACCTTAAATAGCAGAGATCTATACACACAACACCCCGGCTGGTATGAACCAGGACACAAACAAAAATCTTTCTGTCACTGGACACTACCACTGTCCCCGTCCCTGTCCCCCCCACCCTCCCATCAATCATTCCAGTGTAAAACGGTATTTATTTTAAATCATTAGAAAAATCTACATTGATCAATTAAGGGGATTTCACAACCCAAGTTGTTTACAATCATTATAATATTATTTTCATTATCAAAGAAACAATGTAAAGGGGAGTAACACTAGTTGATAAACACAGTGGCACAAACCCTGCAAAGTCATCATGAGAATCTGGATGTACATTAAATGCAAAAAGCAAAACAAGTGCTGCCGTTGTTACTGCATATGCTTTAAAAAAATACATTTTGTATTAAATGTTAATATGCTGTACTTCAGTTAAGTATGACTATTTCTCCTCATGACTGAAGTATTTGTGTCCCATTTTCACAAGCAAACAAAGCCCTGTCTTTCTGCACGTCTTTACCCTTTCCACTATTTCCCACTGACTTCAATGTGACTGTTCATGAGAAAATCTGAGCCATGACAAGTCCTTGAAGGAAAAATAATTAAATGCTGAGGGATGTAAAGGGGTGAAAATTATGAGGAAGGTAAAGAGATCAATTTTTAAGAATTTGAATAAATGTTACAATTTTATCCAGAGTACCTATAACATGAAACTGGGAATTACGTTAGGCACCTCTCCTATGAAGAAGACAGGCTGAAGGAGTTGGGGCTGTTCAGCCTGGAAAAGAGAAGGCTCCGAGGAGATCTTATAGCTGCCTTCCAGTACCTGAAGGGGCTACAAGAAAGCTGGGGAGGGACTTTTCATAAGGGCAGTTAATGACAAAACAAGGGGAAATGGGTTTAAACTGGAAGAGAGTAGGTTTAGATTAGATATTAGGAAGCAGCTCTTCACTGTGAGGGTGGTCAGACACTGGAACAGGTTGCCCAAGGAAGCTGTGGCTGCTCCTCCCTGGAAGTGTTCAAGGCCAGGTTGGATGAGGCTTTGAGCAACCTGATCTAGTGGAAGGTGTCCCTGCTGATGGCAGGGGGGTTGGAACTAGATGATCTTTAAGGTCCCTTCCAATCCTAACCATTCTATGATTCTGTGATTCTATGAATCAACGGTGCTATGAATAGACAAGAGAAAATTACAGAAACTTTATTGCATAACTTGCAAGAAAGAACAAAACAAATGAGAATTTTGGTTTTTTTTTTTTAAAAAGACCAGAGTCAATCAGTGAAGCAATATTCCTCACTAACGCCTCTTTTTAACTCTCCAGCAGTAGCTGTAGTGAAGAGCTGTAGAATTACTGTGCTGCTTCTTACCCCAACTGAAGGTGACCCTGTGCTGGCTGAGCAAGCCAGTCTACACACTGCCAAATCCTCAACAGTGCAGCAGGTTCTTCAAGGCACGAGATTTTATCAAAGTACCAAAGGCAAAGAAAGGTTGGTTTTAAATTATTTATTTATCTGGCTTCTAAGCCCCAAATCAATACTTGAGTCACATTTTCCACACTCACTTCATCACAGCTATAATCACTGTAAGTTTTCTTTAAAAATTGGGTTAAGCTTTGGAATTTTTTTACTTTAATGGGAAGCTCAAACTCTTTATGATTTTTTTTTTGGAGATGGACAATAGTGCAAAATAATTTTCTAAGGAGTTAACACTGTCATCTCAAGTGCAAGCCTGAACTAGTCCCACATAAAGTATTTTACTACACTATAGCTTTTATAATTATCTTCTCTCCTCTTTCTCCAAGAAAAAAAAAATACTTATTTAATCCAAGCACAATCAGATTTAAACTCCATTTATTTAAATGGCTTATCTGAACACTCCAGTAATTTAAATTTAATTACCTTTAAAAAAAAATGCACCTTTTGTATTAAATTAGAGATTATGAGATAAACACATCGGCTGGCAAGAAGCAGTACAGCCTGATTTGGTGTTTGGGGCAACATTCACTCTCTCAAAGTTTTATTTCAAACTAACTGGTTTTTCACTCATTCTACAGGAGGTTTTTAGAGACCTGAGGACCATGCCTAATAACAGTTCTACAGAACATTCCTCCAAATGAGGAATTCCTAGATTCCTCTACCAGTTACTCATCTTTTCACAGGGAAACAAAGAAAATCAGCTCATCAGATGCATTTAATACCATGTTACAGCACTTTATGCAACCATACAACCACAATTTTAAACTAGTATTCATTGGCAGTGAAAATCATTGAATGAAAAAAGGCCATCTAGCCCACTGTCTTGAAAATAATAATTTTGCTTGCCAATAAACTAAGTGATTATGCTTTCTTAGGTATTCATTATGTGCCTTGTTTAAAATATTATGATCAAAATTGATCATATTAATTAGCAAACCAAAAGTTTCTAAGAATTACATGTCAGATACAATTGGAGTAATGAAAATTAGTACATCAGACTAAATTTTCTAAATCATACTTATTTAATGTGGGCTGATATTTTCTGTACCACAGACGAAGTTCTGATGGCAACATTAAAATGCAGTTGTTGCTGCATTCAAAAAAAACAGAATAATATTACTGACATTACTGATATTCAGTAAAAAACTCAGTTAACTTAGTTATCAAAAACAATAAACTAAGATGGCCATTTCTTCACAAATCAACAGTAAATAAGTTTTATGTTTTAAATAGTGAAACCTGTGCTAAGCAATCACTCAGAAAAATAGAACAATATATATATAGACAGCTTACTGACAATGGGGAAACAAAAAGCTAACTTAATTCTCATGTGGAAATAAATCCATCACTGCTCTAAAGGGAAAAAATAGTCATGAAAGGTGAGCTTTGTACAAGTTTCACTATATATTGCCATGCACAATTAATGTAGAATAAATGTATACATGCCTGCATATACAGAAATGTCTTTTATGTAAAAGCCCCAGTTATAGTTCAGGTACTTTCAGTTGCAAAAATAAATATATAATAATTTAACAATTTCCTAATATATATATATTTTGTTTTCCTTCCATTTTTTAATAGAATTTTTAAAAATATACACAGGAAAAATAAAAAACCTTTAAAGAATGATCAACATTACAATTTTGGAATTTAACAGAAATAAGAGCTACTATTCATGAAAGCAAAAACATTAAACTTGACCTTCTTTATTTCAAGGAAAAAACGGTAAAACTTTCAGTTATCAGAAGACAGTAACATTTTTTTCCAGAATACAGTAACAAAAATGTAATGTATGCTTAATCTAAATAAGGAAAGTAAAAAGACTGATGGCTTTAAGAAACAGAAATTCTTTATTAAGGCAGAAATCCTTAATTAAGAATCACAACTATGAAAATGTCAACAGAAATGAGGCTGCAAGCAGAAATGCTTGAAAAAAACTATAAAAGCCCAAACCTGCTTCAGTAATAAGCGATAAGCTTAAGTGTCACTGAGAACATGCCCTGAAAAATTGCAAATGCCCACAAAAACCCTAAAATTACATTCTTATTACAAACCATTTTTCTTAAGAATGCAATTCCTAAAGATTTTTATGACTGCCTTGTCTTTTCCTTACACTACAATGTTTACCATTGTACTGTTTATACATTAAAACCAACAATGCATACTCAAGTAATTTTCAATGATAAATTCTATTCAAGCTGCTTCCAATAAACATCTGCAACTAGCTATTGAAGCACTTTAAAAAAAAAAATTACCTGTTGTCAAGACATTTTTAGTTTTCCAAAAGATTAATTACCTTCTTGTACTGTTTGTCATTGTCATATCCCTGGTCAGTAGCTCTGAACGCTGTTTCTCCTGGAGAGCCTAGGACATAATTACAGAAACTCATTATAACATGCAAAAGGCACTTAAAAATTCTCAAATTACCTCTACTAGAAAATTCAAGTTTCAACCCCTATGAATTATTAATTCAATAATCTTTGAAGTTCCTATTAAAAAAAAAAAAGATTTACCTTAAGAAATTGAAAAAGAAATTCAGTTTAAAACTTGTATGAAAATTTTCTGTCTAGTTTGTGACCAAGATTAGGTGTATAACAAGGGAGTATGCAGGTTCAGTTAGACTATTAAAGTTCTGAAAACACTGTAATATTAATTATTTCTGAAGGATAATTATTTCATGAAAGGATAATACAAATTCCATTGGTATTATTGTAACTTGAAAAAAAAAATTCTTCCTATGTAATGACATAGGTTTTTGAAACAAGCTTCACAATGCCTGAAATAAGAAGCATCTGCTAAGGACTGGGACAGGGAAAAAACAACTATTCATCTATTCATTCTCACAGGGGAGGACCTAAGTATTTTTAAAATAGTTGGAAAGTATTTGTAATTCAATATTAAACTGATGTAAATAGTTGTGTTTACACTGATATTCACTCCTTTTAGTAGTGTTTTAAGAGTTTGCTTTAAAGATGCAGGTTAAGGGCAGTAAAAAGGGCTTTTACACACCTAACAACAGAAGTAGATCAGAAGCTCCTATGACTTCACTAACCAAATTGTAACCTGTGAAAAATCAGCAGAAGAGGGGAAATAAAAATTATAAATACAAACCAAAATGCAAAACAAAGATGAGGGATCTTTGTCTCATTTGGAGGACCACGCAGTCATAAATGGCAACTATGCCCATGTGAGTATGATAATAAATGATAGGTGACATCTCACAACACCAGTCATTAACACCACAATTTTAAACAGCCAAAATACATAGGAGATTGTAATCTACTTGTCACTATGTTGAACTCGATCCCTACTTAGCTGCTTGCTGAGTTTACAAGATTAATAAACTAGTTCTGTCCTTCACAATATTTTAAGAAAAGGAAAATACACTTACCAGGCACACTGATACAGAAATACTTTCAAACACACTTAGAGCAACGACTGTAACCCCTCACAGATATCATCTTCCATAAATACAAATTTATGTGGTTTGATAATTATTAAGGTATATAGTAAGAATAATCTTGCACTCTATTAGAACTCCTACCTCCTCCTTTGAAATGGAGCCCCTACTTAAGCTAAATCTTCAAGCAAGTCCTTTTGGAGCTGTGTCCAGATGGAAAATATCATTCAACGCAAAAGAATACCTTTGTTACACATCTCTTATTTTACATGCTTGCAACATCAAGAATCATCATTCTTAATAATCCAACTCTTTTCTCCTGTAACATCTGTGGCACTGTTACCATCCAGTGCCACTCTCACCTTCTCAATCTAGCTTTCAATCTGTTCGTTTAGAGTTGCACAAGAATTCTAGTTTTCTATTCAATTCCACATTTTGGTTCTCTATACTTGCTGCTAGAATTCTTGTTTTTAAAAATACATTACACTTACCTGCATCCATAACACTTTCAGACGAAATATGCAATGAAAAGGCATGCATTTTCAGGATCCGCTTTCTTTTAGTGTCTAAGGACATACCAGTAACCTCATCTTGTAATAGGTTGTTTTCAAAATTAAAACCAAGCTGAAAAATTGTTCTCACCAGGAGAAAAAAATCCTTTCAGTGAAGTGAAGCTCTCTCCAATCTTGTCAAAGTCAGGCAGAAGTTTGGCAAGGTCCTCTGTATCAGGAAGGGCTTTGATAAGTTTTTCTAGGAAAACAGTACAACATCTAATGAGTAGGGTTTTTTTTTTTCCCCCCTATTATTTTTGTAAACAGAAGTGGCTTAGGCTGTAAAACCTACCAACTGTTTCAGGACATGTTTTTTTCCTTTTTTCTTTTTCTTTCAACAAAGAATTTAAAAGTTTCTTTTGACATGCACCTCCCCCCATTAGTGTTGCAAAAGATTATCAGATCTGAAAAACCAACTGCTTTTCTAGACTTTGAACTTCCTGATAAGTTGGTTGCCTCAGGTACTTTAAAACTGTCTAAAACTTATTGCTGCATTTCACCACATTTCATACATATCCTCTCACATACTTTGTAGAGGATATTTTCAAATTACATAACACTAACTATGCTCATCCCTTGTACATTTTAAGAAAAGCTTATTTTTCAATTTCATAAATAAGCCAATTTTGTAATACTTTAAAGAAAAACAAACTTATTAGCTTTAAAGTACTATAAAAATGTAGTGACCACTAACAATAAAAACAAGAAAACATTTATCTAAGTTACTCAATCTCTGCATTTATCCATGGAATGCTCATACATGTAGCAAAATCTTAATAAACTCCTTTAAAAAAAAAACCAAAACCAAAAAAACCCACCACCTTACTAGACTGCACATACAAGAAGTAACTCGGTGCTTGTTTTTTAGATTTCTATCTTTCAACTGAAAATATGTAAAAAACCTACTGCAACCAGAAGATTCTGGAAAACATATTCTGGAAAAAGTCTATATTTTTCATTTTCTTTTCTTCTGTATCTTCAAAATAGTTTTGTAGCTCGGTTCACTATTTTGCATTTGCAATTGGTCTTTCATTTGTACAGATCTTTTACTTATTTATTTATATGTATTTTTTTAATTTTAAGTGTCATTCATATAGAAAGAACAAACTTTGCACATAATACCACTAAAACCTGTTTAAGTCCCCTTGATCATGCTGCAACTCTCCTTTCAATAATGGGATTATATGGCCACCTGAAAGGACCCAGAACATTCTCAAATTAAACAATGAACTATGGAATATCGATGCTAAACAATGCTTAATTTATTCCTACAAACACACTGATACAAATACCTTGGTAAGACACACACCAAACTCTAACAATACAAGTTCACTCAAATTACAGCTACAACGATACTACTGTGGAGGGACACTGAGGACCTACACCCTTATGCTTAAGTTTTACATATGCTGCTCTTCAGACAGAGTAACATTTTAGCTTTTGTGATACCGAAGTCAATATGTTCATCAAGCTCCCAGACGAAGTCAGGAATAATCCACTTATATTCATCGAGATCTGGCATCATGTCCTTCCACTGATCATATGTCTAATACAAAAAGGGAAAAAAAAAAACAAAACATAGTAGAAATAGAAAAATAAATGTATGTAGAAAAGCATGAGCAATCTATTGAAAAGTAATACCTAAAGTATACCTAATATAAAACATACTAATGCACCATCTTTTAGATATTAATAATACTACTTGGATCCATTAAAATCCATACTAGTTCTCTAAACAATCTATTTTACATATTCACTCACCTTTATTGTCACTAGTTAACCAAACAATGATACCTCGTATTTCTGTGGATATACCAAGAACTATTGTTCTGAAGTGTGTAATAACAACAAAGAAAAAATGCATAAAATAGCTTCCACAGAGAAATAAATACCTTCTTAGCTGTATAACCACCACCTACAGCAGATCCTAATATAAGATAGCGAAGTCTGAGAAGCCTTGACGCTAGTCGAGCTAGCCAAAAGTTCCTGTGGAACTGGTATCCATATTTTACATTTAAAAGTTTTGTTTTGCGTAGGGGAAGACGATTAAGAGAAGAGAACAGCTGAACAGATATCCTTAATGGAGGTCTTTGAAATTTTGCACTTGGATAGCAAGGATGATGTATACTTCGGGAAACAAGATGCAAGTTTTGAAGTGGTGATTTTCTTTTCATTCCATAGCTTTTATTTGCTAGACTCCGGCAGATGACACTGAAAGAAAGAAAGAAACAAAAACTCTAAGTAACAGATTTCCTCAACAAACCATTAACTCAATAACCTCTTTAGAAGCAGTTCACGTGACATTTTAGCTGCTTACAGATAAATTAGAGCATCATTCTGAATGTACAGTTTCCAGCTATCATTGGCATGCTACCAGGAAAATAAAAAGCTGTAAGCATTGTTAATGGGTATAGCATTTCTAGAGATTACGGAAATAAAACCTTAAATATCATTTATGAAGTCTGTTATGAATCAAATTTCACTTCCACATTGGATTAAGGCAAGTAGCATGTCTGTGGCAAAACACAGTTTGGGCAAACAGGAGCTAAGAGTCCACAGCAGACTGTGATCAACTTGCAACACAAAATAGAAAACTTGACAGTTTGACCTACTTTGTTATTCAAAATGAACTTTTAGAGAACATTAAGTTGGCAGAGGATTTTCAAACTTCAAAAAAACAATACACAGACAAAATTGTATTGCAAAATACATTTGTCCTTTTTTGACAAAGCAGATTCTCTTTTGGAGTTGAAGCATGTACTTAATGACATCTTTCCGCTCCCTTGACTCGAATATTCTGCAGTTCTAGGATTACGGCATTATTGTTTTGTCTTAGGTCATACAGAGACATGATTACTTCTGGAGATGGCTACACCATGTTTGTTGAAGACTTTAATAAAGTAATTCAGATTTATGCAAAAGGGAGAATTTCAGTCTGAAAAATTTGACTCGGAAAGAGCTCAGCCCTGAAAAGCAAATGTTAAAACAAAAGAACCTTTAACCTACGTTAAAACAAATGCTTAGGTTGTAAAAAAGCTCCTTGTACACTTTTAATTACACTATCTGCATGCTTCAACGTTTTGAGGTAGCTTTGCTAGTTTAGGGAAAAGACAACTGCTCTGGAAAAAGCAATTTCTTCTGGAACTTTTTAGTGTCACCATCACATCAGAATGGTTAATATTAAATAATTTACTGGATACAAAATATGAGTGAAGTTACAGTTCTTGAAATTAATGCTTGTCCCCTGATGCTTTTTTCAGGGTTTTCAATATAATCAAGCGCATTTAATTAGAAAGGGGACAAACGCAAAAGAAGAAAATGCTTCATACCATTGAGAAAGCAAATTATTAACCCCATAATTCTAAATAATTTTAAATTAATAGATTTTGAAGAGAATAAATGAATCATATGACATGGAAAATATTACAGCATTTTCTAATAACGTGCTCTATAATCTATACAGTTCCTTGCCATGTGATTTACCATATAGTATAGACAAGATTGTCTACGACAGACACATTTTTAATGTCCAAAGTGGAAGACACTCTTATAAAAGCACTTTTGACCCAGAAATTGAGCTTTTGGAAGACAAGTTAATTAAAGTGCCTCCGTGCTAGAAGGTGTTTTATTTCCTGCCTTTGAAGACAGCTTTTTAAATCAGGCTTTGGTAAGCCTGTATGAAGCAAGCTGATAACTGGGCTGCTATTTCTTTTGTTTTGCAGTCACTACTATTACACAGATATTGAATATTTTCATCAGAGACCAAATGGTTGTATATACTATGCCAGGCACTTCCCAATTTTAGTGTTCACCTAGGTTAAAGGCATTTTGTAATAATACGCAATTTTCTTTTCTGTGATTTTTCTTTTAAAATACACCATGGTTTACAGCATTCATTCTGTATGTTTAAATGGAAAGAAAAACTGAGTTCCATCAGAAATTGTTATGGCAAGAACTTTATCAACAATAATTGCCTTTTGAGTGCTATTGCATATTTCAAGCCCTGCCTGCTTTAACTGCACATATAAAACCTTGTAATTCATTAAAAAACTCCACTACTCCATCATTATACCAGAAATTTAATTTTCTCCTTTCTCCTTTCTCTGCTCCCCCTGCTAAAAACTCCTGATGAACACTGACAAAAAAAAATCACCTGAAGATCTTAACTGAGAAGTGCAGTTAGACTGAAAAGGGTGCCAAAACAATGCTATTAAATAAAGTATTTAATGAGTTCCAAATTTAAAGCCTCTGGAAAGCTGTTTTTAACAACAATAACAAAAATTAGCCTTCCAGACATGAGTAGCTCTGCCATTAGAATCTGCCTGATGACAGGCCTGCAACCTGACTCCTCCTGCAACTGCACAGAGACTAGAGATACCTTGCAAAACAAGAAAGAGCAGCCTCTTACTACGGATGGAGAGCCAAGCATTCCACCTGGAAGTCACCGCTAACGTTTTAAACATACTGCTCCAGGTTAAGCGTTTAAAAAATCCCCACCTCAGCTGGGACAAGTTATCTGTAAGGACAAGTTATAGACATTTTTAATATAAAGCCACAGCGTGACTGTGGTTCAGCCTTTCAAATGCAATCCAGCAGAATGCATTGTGATATTTTCTCTCATTCAGCACTAGACAACGCTTCTTTTTCCTATGCTGCTCCTGAAGTAGCCAAGGAATATTGTGAAGTAACCGGCCATTCGGTTTTACCGCTCCAGCGTGGAATTGTGCAGAACAGTGAAAAACAACAGGAGCGCGGGGAGGTGCTGGTGGGGGCCAACGTCTGGTGGGGCGGGAATGCGGGAGACACGGCTCCCTCCCACACCGCAGCCCCAGGTCCCAG